TAAAACATTTTGATGGTAGTGCTGATTAAGTTACCCCTTTGTATGCTGCATTAGAAATAACCCTTTCAGATACGTCCCTTTTTCACCAGCTGAGTGGCTATCCTGTATCTATTCCTCAGAGATAATCCCGAGCATATGGCAGGAGCCTGTCTCGGTGGGATACTTCTGGTTGACTTCTGGTTGTCCCTGGCTGACTTCAGCAGCCAGAAGAATCCTGAATACCTTAGAAGTAACTTCCACTGAAGCCACAGTATGGTGGGAAGGGGCATGGGGGTAGGTATTGGGTCCATTCCTCCCCTATAGCACTGCTACTGATTCCCTGCTTATATGTGGCACAGCAGATGGACCATGGGGGTAGGGGTGTTACCCCTCAGCTATTTGGAGAGGCATCCCCACTCCCACACAGCCCCTGTGGAGGAGATGTATGGCTTTCTGTGCCTCTGCCTGTCAGCCCTTGAGTCACGGGCCCTGTGCCCTCCTGCTCCTTCACAAGTGCCCGGACAGAGACACAAGGGTTAACATCTGTTGGACCTGAAGCGTTTCCATAAAACATCAGTTTTCTTTAGCTGAATAATCACAAAAAGCAAATGATCTTTCATCACAGATGTAGCTTATCTCCACCAGACAACTGCAGGTGTTTCTGGAGTGCTTGTTAGACCAACATGCAACCTGTGTGAACCTGGCCATTCAAGGTAGGAAAGCCCTGTCTGTGCCAATGGGATTGATTTGTTTGGGGTGTGGTTTTACTATCCTAGGAATCAATCTAAGCCCTCCAAGGGCTGAGCAGCTTTTTAGGGACTCATGGCAGGGTTTGACAAAGGCTCAAAAATAAATCCTTACAGGTACCTGGAACGTCAGATTTTGAAACTGGTTTGCACAACCACTCGTGCCAATACAACCGGGTTACGCAAGTGCCCGCAGAAAGCAAACACAGGAGGTCTGAGCGTGGCCAAAACCACCTCATCTTGAAAGAAAGAAAGGGAGGAAAAAAAAAAAAAAAATTTTTTATGGAAGAATTGTGCAATTTTTGATGAAGCTGCTAGAGACGTGTGCGCCCGATTTCCCAACTGCCCTGGAAACGGCAGTGGCAGCAACGCCGCTGTGCCGAGGCCCTCGCGGCTCCGCGTGCTGAAATGTGGCAATTTCCGTCAGAGTTTAAACCAAAAAAAAAAGAGGCGGGGCGGGGGGCTCAG